ACGTGTGATGAGAGGGGGGGGGGGGGGGGAAAAAGTTTCTTTGGGCTTCAGAAATGAAACTACTGAGCGACAAGGAAATAATAAGTTATCTGAGAACTCAAACAAGGCCAAAGAAATCTCAGGTGGGCAGAATTCTTTTTCTTTAACCAGGTCAGGTCAGCACTTGCAAGACAAAAAAACCTAAAAAAAAATTGCCAGGATAAAGCATAGATGGGATGCTCAGAAAAGGAGAGGGGGGAAAAAAAGGCTGAATTCAAGAACAGGGGCACAACCACCATCCCTCCGTGGCTGAGATTTCATTCCTAAGCTTTCCCTTGGTATGATGGTCTTGAATTCCCATCATTACTCTTGGCCAGCAGAGCAGACAAAGGAATTGGGCTATTCATCTCACTGGGCACACGCTGTAGTTGCACAGAGAAGCTGCAATGATAATCAGGATTGGTTGTGTTGCATATTTTACAGATGTATGAGTAGTATAGGATTAATTTTCTGTCCTAAAGAGGGTCTGAGATGATGTATGGCTAAGTTAAATGCATGGAAAAGAAGGAAAGTGTTTTTGTTCCACTTGGAAGGTTGTTGAGTGTCTACAGTCACATTCATGAAGCACCAGAGAGAGGGAATGAACCTGAACTTTATCCACTATCAGGTCTGGACACGACAAATTAGGAAAAAGGGTGGCTTGGATTTCATCTAAATGGCAAAAAGCATCCTCTAAATTCTTACACCAACTACATGCCCCACTCACCTCCCAGTTGGAGAAGCAGAATACCCCTAAAACATGAAGATGACATGAAACCCCATCTGAAAGAGGTGGTACCTGGAGATGACATCATGGCCTGGCAGCACTCACCACTATTGCTGCGTCTCCTGCTCGTGTCCAAGGTGCCTGCAGAGCTGTTGCCTTCCTCAGGAACTTCTGCCAGGTCAGCTGTCTGCAGGGACAGGAAGATCACAAGAGATGGGACAAGCCAGGAAAAGGGAATGATGAGGTGAAATGAGACCATGGGGGAGCCTTTTGGGGAATGTAGTGCTTGGGGTGCTACCAGAGGAGAGCAAGTCAACCCAATGGGCTTGCAGAACATACTCTGGTGATGCACAACAAACACCCACTTCACAGGGAGTAGAAATCCCAGAAAGAACTTCAGGCTGAGTTTACAGTCTGGAATACAGAGATTTCTACAGTAAAAAGTGAAGTGAATTTTAAGGAACAAAGGATTATATTAAATAAAGGTGTTCTCTGTATCAACTAGAAGGTGTTGGGGGGGGGAATTGTAGCTCCTGCAGGTATCTACCTAGCTTCCAAAGAAACTGGACCTTAATTGAAACTTCTTGCTATTAATTTACTCTGGATCTGACCTGATGGAACCTTCAGCTTCTGAACTCTCCACAGGTGACTTCTTTTGAGTAAAACCTCTTCAAGAACCACAAAACCCTTCTACATTCCACTGGAGTCAGGTGCTCTCTCCTCATCCGAAATCTGTAAACCCTTATGTGCTCCTAAGCTTTATTTATTTCTCATTAAGAGGACTTTAAGACAGAGGGAAGGATTTAACTTCATTATTCCATGGCACTTTACAGTTGTGCTGGACACATAGCTCTGCCCATTGCTTTACCTGCTTTAAAGGAAGAGAATCCACTACAGTTGTGCTGGACACATAGCTCTGCTTTAAAGGAAGAGAATCCAGATGAGGAACATCCACTGTGTTTGCTCAGGCAGCACAAAATCTGAATTGCTTTATGGATTTTTACATGATTTTTTTTTCCCTTTTACTCCTATTGGCAACAAAGCTGCAGCACAAAATCTGAATTGCTTTATGGATTTTTAGATGATTTTTTTTTCCCCTTCTACTCCTATTGACAACAAAGCTTTTTTTTTTTAGAGTTATTTGACAATTTTATTTCCCCTATCTGCTTTCTTAGCTGCTCCTCCAAGTAGACCACTGAACAAAGAGGTTAAAAGTAGATTTCTGCCGCAGGTATCTCATGCTTATCTTCTTTCTCTTGCTATTTTAAGAGCTTTCTACTTTCCCACTCTATTCTGCCTTGGTTTTAGACTCAGCTTTGTGCAGCAGGTCACGCACAAGTGGGTCACCCCTGGAGGAGAAGGCACTGCAGTAGCAAAGCTCAAACCCAGTCAGTGTAGAGCATATCCAGGGATTTCTGGCTGCTGGGTAGAGAGGGAAACGATTGGTTTTGTTGAAATCCTAAACCCCAGCTATTTTTCAGCTGTGGCATCATCCTCAGCCTTCACGGACTTGCTTCATCATGGCTCATAAGCTTCATATTTTGGTGGGTGCTGCTGCACATGGGATGTGTCTTCAGTATATACCTCATCCCAAACCTCCTGAGGTAACCTTAGCTGCCTTGAATGATTTATTTCAGTCCAGAGCTGTTTGATAAGTGGGCTAATAGAACTGATAGCCATACAAAGCTGCCTGGGAGAGGAGCTGATCCCTGAAAACCTCGCCAGAACTGGAATCACAAATCCATCACCTCAAGTGACTTGCTGTGCCAACGTGGGTTGCAGAAGCACATTTTGGAAGGAGGCAGTAGGTAGTAAATCTGGAGCATATGGCCACTTTCTTTTATGAGAAATGCAGAATTTGGGCTGAAAAAAAATCACAGTGGGTGTGTCCACACTGCTCAGTCATGTTAAAAATACCATGGCTACGTTCAGAACAAGACTGATGTCTCCAGAGAGCAGAGACATGAACTGCAGTCCTGGAAGCTTCACGGCTGTGGAGGCAAAGCCCAGCTTCTAGATTGTGCTTTTAACCACCTTCAACTGGAGCAACTGTGCCCTTTGAGAGCTTGGAGAACATCTGCAGGGTGAAGTAGGATCCCAGGTGTCACCATGTCCTTGGTGTCCCTGGTTGGGTGAGATTGGCAGAACCTTGAAGCTGCCTCCAGCTCCCAAGGTTGGAGCACAGCCCAGCTGCAGCATCCCTGGGAGCTGCATTGCTGCTTGGAGAGGAGCAGAGCAGCACAGGAGTGAGGACCACTGGGGAAAGATCTTAGTCCCTCTGCTTTATTAACCCCCCACGTGCTGCTAGCTCTGGTGCATTTTCCCCTGGGCTCTTAGGGCTCTGTGTCACATTTCTGCTCTGGTGACTGGTCAGTGCCTGCTCCTGGGTCACACAGGACAGCTGTAAAGCTCCATGGTTCCATCAGAGTTGTGTCTGCCCATGGTTTTTATCCTTCTCTCAATCCACAGGCTTACACTGGTAGAAATCATGGTTCCATCGGTCTATCTATTGAGTCTTCTAATCTTTCCTATTTTCCATAAGCTGACCCATGTTCTCCTCTCTCTCAGCCTCAACACCCTGCAGAAATTCCCATCATAAACTTGTGTTCCTCACTCTACACCCACACCCCACCTCGTTAGGACCAGCTCCCTGAGGGCAAACTGCCAGAGCAGTGGTGATCTCCACGCTCCAGTTGTCATTCATAATTCAGCAGAATGCTTTATTGATTTAGAAAGCAATAATTACATTTGGAGGACTTCTGCTTGGGAGTAAATTAAATATCTGAAAGAACGAACTGTAATCACAACGGGACAGGTGGTAGAGTCACTCTGGGTTCTGAAAAAAGGATGGAAATGACTCAATCCTTTCCAAGGCACAATCAAGGGTGGATAGAGGATGTGTCCTTTAGTGACTCTTACACATTTCATTTACTTCTTGTTTAAATTTCCCTGTCTTCTCTCCCATCTGACACAAATGGATGTCTGTTTAGAGGTCACCTGTACCACCTAAGCTCAGCCAGGTGAGTGGATCTACATTTAAATGCCAGGGAAATGGTTTCTCAAACTCAAACAGATAATAGCACAACTTTTAATTAAACTTGTATTTGCTCTGAGGCTCGGAGACCAAGTCTGAGTTTACAAAAAGAACATTTTCTGGTCTCATTTGGGAAGCTGAGAGTGACATTATGGATTTTTTTAGTTAAAATACAAGGTTTGTGAGCTCTGTTACAAACTGAAAGAATATCTCTTGCTCCTCCAGAAAGAAAATGGAAGAAAGCTGTAGGATACTCACAGAGTTTCTGTTGGGAGAGTCAGACCCACTTCCAGAACTGCCCTTTTTGGTTTTCTGGGCTAAGGAAGTCCCAAAGCGAAGAGTTTCATAAACAGGGTCAACCTTATTTCCACAGGCTGCAACAGAAGGAGCAAAACGTGTGTTAAACCCTTGAAGATGTTTCTGGTCATGTTCCTGCTCCACTTGGAGAAACACCTGCCCCTACTAACACAAGTTGAGAAGTTGAGGGACTATCCTGATTAAAAATGTTCAATGAACTTGGTGGAACTGGCTTTTGCTAGTGATTTTCTGCTGCCTCTCTGCTCCCACAAAGATAATCCACCACCTCAAACAGGTTCTTCAGGTCCCCACCACTACCTGGTCTCTCTTCACTTGACATTCTCCTTCTCTGATCACCACAGATGCTGCTGGCACTGAGGTAAAGAAGACAAAATACCAGGAGACTTTAACCCATATTAGCTCCCTGTTCACTGACCTCTTGGATGGCTCTCAACAGGAGATGCTTGAAGGGAAAAAGTCTCCATGGTGCTGGAGCATTTTGTGGTATGGGTTGACCACCACCTTTATCTGCCTAACCTCACAGTGCTCCTCTTTGGCTAATGTAGGTCAACAGAATGGCCTGGATCTACCTTGGAAGGTACTGATGTCCTCACTGTGGGGTCATATGGGGTCTGGAGGTAGGTGTGAGTGGGTACCTGCTGGTGGGAAGGGGCTACAGGTTGCTCAGCAAAGTCTAGAGGAATCCAGAAGGGCCATTCAACTCTCACTCCCACTCTCTCTCATAGCAGGTCCCAAAAATCATCTCCCAGGGCAGAGAAATGGATGTCTTCCATTAGCTAGAGCAAATTTGGTTCAAGTCCTCTTCTATACATTGCACCATGAGGCCTCAGCCTCCCTTGTAGGACAAGGGAGCAGCCACACAGAATACTTTGGTAGCATTGTGTAGCAGAAGGGAAATTTTGGGCCAAGTACTAAAAAAAAATACATGGGATTTGGAATTTTGAGGAGAGCAGAGCACACTTCATTATTTTAGCAAGAATTGGTTTGAAATCTATTGCTTTTGACAAAAAGTGGGAGGGTTTTTCTTAGAGAGAAAATTAGATGAAATCCATGTAAATCACTTTACTTTTTGTTTTTATCTGCCAAACCCAAGGCAGAATATATCCTCAGATAACACATTTTAAACTGACTGCCTGGTTTTGGCTTTTCTACTGCCAGGCTTGCCTGGTCAGAGTGCTGGTGGGGAGAAATATTTTCCAGAATCCATTCAACTTCACCATCTCAGAACGTTTCTCTGCAGGTATTTGGTGTTACAGCGAGCAAAATTGGGTCTGTTAAATACTCAGACAACACATAGACGTGGTCAATAAGGAAAAAAAATGAAGAAGTGTGGATGAAAAAGGACAGGAACCAAGAAATGGGCCTCAAAAGCTGGACCAGGGGTTTGAATGCCTCCCGCTGTTTGGATCTCTCCATCTTTTGTTTGGTTCACCTCAAGTCAAGCCTTCACCTCATGGGTCTCATCCCTTTCATGTTCCTACCTTGATCTCAGCTAGCTGTTATTCTGAACAGGGTGCTTGCTAAGAGGTTGTATGTACAGGGGTTTTTGAGCAAAACACACGATAAACACACCCTCTCCTCTTCCAGCTTTGTATCTTGGAAGTGGTCCTTTCCTGAGATGGTAGAAGGACATCCAGTCACTGAAAGGAGCTGGAAGGCTGCTGAGGGTAAATACCAGGGCTGGAATTCTGCCGCTGCTCTTGCAGAGCACTGCCAAAGGGAGACTGAAGGGAAAAGCAATCAAAACCTACCAATGGGCATCACTTCTTTGATGCAGCCAAACTGTTCATGAATGAGCAGTGGGGAGCTGTAGTACCGTCGAAATCCCTTTGGCTGGAGAAGAGAGAAAGCAAAACCAAGTGAAGTCCATTGTTGCCACCATTCATGGAGTAGAAATCAAGTCAGCTCTCCAGCTAACAGCCCAACAACGTGGCGAGGCTGGAAATTGGCCTCCTGTTGTGGAGTCACCATGGGTTTTAGGGATCAAGGGATTTATTTGGTTTTCCTCTTGGAAAAAAAACCACAATTTTCCCTATTTATGTGGAAGGAGAGGCTCCTTTTCAGCTCTCCTTTTCTCTTTTGTCTTCAGCAAAAGTGGTGCTAATTAATTGCAGCAGAAGTGTTGACTCGTTAGAGGCTGTGGGTCGTTTCCCCTCTCTCTTTCTTCTTATGCAATGTGAATTTGCATTGTTTGGCATTTGCTGAATGTGACTGTCCTTCCCCACCCTAACTCCAAATCCTCATGTTCCCACAGATGCACTTGTGAAACTCAAAGAATTTGGAGCCTTTCTATAGGTTTTTCTAAGGTTTTCTGCTGACTGACTGAAGCATCTGCTGCTTTTTTTTGTCTCCTAAGCTCAAAAAAGTCCCCAGGGCAACACCAGATGTCCCCTCAACGTCCATTTCTAGAGAAATGAACTATGACAACTCAAGTTATACCACAACGTGGCCAATAACACTTCTAAAAACCATTCATAGAAGATTAAACATTTCCTCTTACCACTCTCCTATCTCAGCTAGCAAATACCTCAGGCAAAGGCTTAAGCACCCAAAATGAAGGTGCTAACATCTAAGTCTTTGGAAATGCCCTTCAAGGTATTAGGGATTTGCAGATGGTCTCTCAAGTTTATCTTCTTTGCAGGCTGGGAGAACTTCCAGTCACAGTGAGACTCTCATAGGAGACCTATTTTTTGTATCTTATGCTCAGTATGCATAAAAAACCTCAAACAATAACCCAAACCCCTCAAAAAAAACCAGGAAGGAATGAAGGGATTGATAAATTGAAGGTTTCTTGGAATAAATTCCAGATTCTCTACTCTTGGTTTGCCCCCAAACTAGATTCAGACAGAACATGAGCTCATAAACCTCCTGTGCCTTTGTTGGATGAATCCCTGCTGTAAATTTGGTCTCTGCTTTTCTGCTTTTGTAACTAGTGACCACAAGAGCTGAGGCTGGGAACAAGAAATGCATGAAACAATTCATGTGATTTAATATTTGGCTTGTCCAGGACTTGCAATGAGGTCATTGAGGTCTTCACAGGCCAGAATGCCTCACAACAGGGCTACAGTTCTGGTTTAAATGCATAAAGATTTGTCTCAAGTGTATAAATATCAATAGCTTTCACTGAATACTCTTGGAAAAAGACCTTTCCAGTGAAAGGTGGGGTTTCTAACCTTTGTGAAGTCAATGCTGCATTTTGTCATCATTTAACACAGTGAAACTCTTTGGTTTTAGCTCTTATTTGTCTCGGGTGCCTTCGGGTTGCAACAAATCTTGAGAACATCTGAAACATGAATATATATATTCACATTTCATATTCTGAACGGTCATTTTTCCAAGTTCTTAGCCCAAAAATAACCAAAGGAACCATATTCCCATAAGTCTGATCATTTTGGGCCAGAATTTTCTCAAACACCATGTCCTGCCTTTACCAACAATGAGAAGCTGCTGCTCAGAAGGTGACCCAGCCATGAAGGTGCTGTGGTCCATACAGGGGCAGGTCTCCTCCCAGCCTCTCTCAAACCTCTCTTGAGGTGTTGCTTCATACCCTAGTGTCTCACTCTGAAATACCCTTTGGTTCTCTTTTTTTGGGATGAATTCTGGCTTTTCTTCAGCCCTAACAGAAACAATGAAAAACAATTTGAAAGATTTTTCATTTTTTAAACTCCATTGAAATTTTCTGGCTTATTTATAGCCTTCCTTGAGAGATTTACACTACGTTAAGCACAGTTTAAACCAAGAGAATTAAGTCTGTTATTTAACTAAATTGGGATTACATCACTGCATTCTCTCCTCCCCAAAGCAGACCAGAGTTGTGTTTCATTTTTGGTCAGGTTTTTGAGGAGCAGCCTAAATGGCTCCTAGGACCCTCCTTGGCTTGACTTTTCCCACCTCAACGAAGCGACCTGGTGTCAGTTGTGTTAATACACCAACCAAGGGGTGAAGGACACCAAATCAGGAGCTCCAGCAGCTTTGCTGCTCACTTACCAGCTTGCCCATGCAACGTTGTTGTCCAAGGCTGTCTGCACACTTGTGGTGGATGCTCATCTTACAAGCCTTGCAGCGCAGCCCGTGCTTGGCCGTCGTTCCTGGGAAAGGCATGGAAAGGATCTCATTACACAGGAATCAATCCTTTCCGTGCATTTAACGAGTGACCTGGAAGAACTGATGGCTGCAGCACAGTAAATGTTGACAGAATTCTTCACTTTGAGTCCTTTTTGGGTTTTTTTATAGACAATTAAACAAGCATTTTCTTTACGTCTTCTCCATTTTAGGCGTTTCTCCCCCAGGCTGTTGCTGTCTTTAGATACATGTTGGATTATGCTCTGTTGTAGGATGGCCTTATCAGTTCCATCTGAAATTTAGGAAAACCAACTTTGCTGTGAGGCTGCCAGAGCCTGGAGCAGCTGCCCAGAGAGGCTGTGGAGTCTCCTGCTCTGGAGAGATTCCAAACCCACCTCGACATGATCCTGGGCAACCTGCTCTGGGTGATCTTGCTTTAGTTGGATGAGATGAACCCCAGAGGTCCCTTCCAACCCCTCCATTCTCTGATTTTGTGATTCTATGAGGTCTCTGCCTCATGAACATCAAGCAAAATCCCTTGCTTTTGCCAGCAGCCACTGAAGGAGCACCCAGGCTCTGGAGCTGCTGGCTCTGACCTTCCTCTCCTTCGCTAGCAGTAGAGGAGCTCCAGGAGAAATTTTTCCTTACAGAAACAGACTTCTCCCACTTGGGCAACAGTTGTTCTGCATTATCTTCAACGTGGACCTGCTCTTAAATGACAGAGCCAAGTCTGGTTGCTCCCAGGCAGGAGCAGTCACTCTTATTCATACGCTCATCAGACTTCCTCAGCTACGCAGCAGCAGTTAAGCTGCAGAAACTCTTTTATCCCCCCCAGGACTGTATGAAAGGAATGAGAAAACAACAACTCACTTCATTATCATCTACTGTGAGAGTGAGTAAGGAAACAAGGTAGTAAAAAACAACCCAGCCCAAAAACTCTTGACATTTTAACCATCCCTCATCAGTCAGGCGTGATAAGAATATTAGTCAGAGGGATTCTGCATCTGAATGTATTTGATTATTTGAGCAGTCAATGGCATGTACTTCTTGCTGACTTCACTCAGGGAACTGCTACGTCTGAAAGAAACACTTCAGGGAAGGTCTTGTCCAGCCTGTGACAAATCCTGAACCTGGACAGGACCGCTCTGGGGAGAAGAGGTTCCTCAAGTGGCCACCTCCCACCAAGCCAGCAGCAAGCTGGAGGACCTGTGGTGGCTGCTCCTCATCTCACCTCATTCCTGGGGTCTTTTATTCAGCCAACACAGGATTTACTAGAAGAACCCATCCCTGTTGGTTCTTTTGGTGGTGGTTGGTTGTTTTTTTCCTGTCTGGCTGTGGTTGGATTACTGTGCTGTGAGGATTTTTTTTTTCAGTTGTAGTTTCTTTTCAATAACACATCCTCAAAGCAATATCAACTTCTGCTGCTTTGTGCTTTTACTACTGATGATGAAATGCTGAATCACCCTTCCTGGTGGTCAACAGCTGACACAGTGAGGAAACAGGACTTCCTCCACATTTTTAAATTCTATTTATAGGGTGGAATCAAAAAAAAAAAGGAAAATGACATCATACTTTGCCCATACAACATCCTTTCAAAAATCAAACCCCAGCTTATTCAAAACAGAAGGCTGTGGTCATGTAAAAATAAATAAGACATAAATTACAGAAGAACAACACTACATTTCTTTTGCTGAGTGCCATTTGTCACCTGTGGGGAGGAAAGTAGTGGCTTCAAAGAGAGGAAAAGTGTCTCAGTCACGTGCTTGAGCAGGCAAGAAGGCTTTGTAAATCAAAATGAAATTCTCTTTACCTCCCCAAAGCTTCAATCCTTAATTCATTGTCATTTCTAACTACTTGAATTACTGTGGGATTAGGCTGCTTGGAAATAATTTGCATGTATTTCCTTGCCTCCCACTGTGGGATAACTAAAGAAGCATTTATTCTGTATTTACACTTAACTACCATATCTCAAGCTCTCCAAATGGCATTTCTACAAGACAGATTTTCTTTTTTTTTCCCCAGGAGAACTCTTTCTTCTTCAGTTTCTGATCTCTCTCACACCAAATCAAACCTCCTCAGAAAATCATGGCTAGGCTATTTCAAAGCTGCTAACTATCAGCAGTGTATCTGACCCAAAAGTTCCTGTAATTCAGAACTGAGACACAGCCACAGGTCACATTGTGGAGAAGAACAAATTTGTATTCAGTATAGGTGTAGATGAGATCAGGGTTTGACTCGTTGCATCAGGTTTTGGCTTCCCCTGTAAAGGAAGATGTTGACTTTGCAGTCGCCTGAGTGGGGCTGGGTTTTGAAGGCACCTTGGTGGTTTCACATGGGGGAAAAAACAGGCAGAATATGGATCTTGAATATAGTTCTAGGGAGCTGAGTGAGTACAGTGAGAGTCCTAAAGTCCTACTGGTAGAAGAGAGATATTTCAAGATGCCTAAAGTAGTGGCACTGGCCACAGCAATGTGTTGAAACATTATTCACCAATAAATTCCCCCAGAGAGCACGAGGAATTGGGTCTGAACATCCATTAAATAGTAGAAAACAGGGAGTATTAATGAATAAAAGTAAAAAATTATGATGATAGAAATAATAACATCACCACCACTACCACGATAGAGATGATTGGAGAGGAATTTGGATCATTTGACTTATCTGCCACAGGGGACCAGGGCTGATTTGAAGTTGAAAGCCTCTCTGTGACATGCTTATTCCCACTGGGTTAATCCCTCTGTAGGTGAAGGGGATGAGCAAGGAGAGAATTCACATCTGAGGTGGCCACAACAATGCCTGGAAGGGGCAGTTCTGCAGGAATGGTGAGTTCTGGGATGCTAAAACTCTCTCCTCAGGGACTTCTGCTGGATGTACTCGACCTGCAAAAGCCTGACCCCCACTCTCCTGTTTTCTCCCTGCTCCCCTAGATATCTGACAGCCTTCTTGCTGCCTACCATTTTTTCCCATCAGCAGATACTCCCCTATGCCCACCTTAAAATGCAGCTGGCAGCTACTGGTGTAAAGTATTTGTTGAAATGTCTTAGCCCATCTGGAATCACTTCAGTTTGGGGTGGATCAGAAGAAGAGGAACGAAAGGTTTGGCAGCTAATCTAAACTTAGAGTCTCATAACTATAGTTTTCCTTCAAAGGGGGAGTAGACCTCAAAGGAGTAGTAGAGAATGTTGATGGACTCTTTGTTATGACCTTCAGAAAACAAACATCTCCCCCACCCTCTTGTCCAAAGAACCCTTCCTAAGGTCATGAAATCCAACTGTTAAATGTTGACCATGCTAGAACAAGGGTTCTGCTCAGCCACTTTTGGACTGCAATTGATGGACACGATTGTCACCCTTTTGATTCAAAGCACACTACTCCCCCCACTGAAGGGGGTGGCCAGTGTTCAATGAGTGGACAGCTCTGTTCAACACTTCTTTTGCACTTCCATTGGTCTATGGGTGTCCTTAAGCATCATCTTGAGTACCACATTACCCTCATTCCAAACACAAGGTGATCTACAACCTCATGGGCTTTCCTATGGGCTCGCTGCCTTTGCCTCTACGCCTTATAATATGAATATTTTTTTGCCCAAATTTAGATGGGATGGCTCCCATTTGAGGGATTAATGGATAAAACTGAATTTCACTTCAGGATACCTGGGTGGCTCTCAAATAAACTCACAAATGAGGTTCTACCACAGTCATTTTCTTCAGATAGCAGCCTAACACATCCAGAAGAGGGAGGACAGGTTGTTTTGAAAAGCAGGTCATGTTTAATAACCCCTTGCTTGAAATACTCTACGACTGGGTCAGCTCCCATTGGAATAGCTAAAGTTTCTCCAGAAGGGCCGTGGAAAATTGAATCTTAAACTGTTCTGATAATCTGACCTTAAATACTATTCAAAGGACACGTCGCCTGACTTTTGGAAATTTAAGACTATTTTTGAGGAAGTCTCAATGGAAAGAGAACACCTCGATATAGGTGAATGGAAAGATTTGGAGGCAGAAAGAGCCAAAGGAGACAAAGCAGAATTGGAATCCACGTCTTGATGTCTGTCTCTCCTATAAAAGCAGCTCAGCAACTCCTCTGCCTTTCAGGAAAGTGACTTTTCTCCTCAGGAATGCAGATGAGAATCATGTTTGTCACACGCACACCAAGGATGAACCTTCATCATCCTCTTGGCCAGCACTTGGCCACAGCACTGTTGGCTGATGTTTTCTGCCTGTTGTTTGAAGACTCAACGTAAGATTAATAGCTAGAGAAGGAGAACAAGCCCTACAGCCTGGAGAAATCTGAAGGAAAATTGCAAATGTTGGTAACAACATGATGTTATGCTGACTGCATGAAGAGAACTATATTAGGCACTTATGCTGAGCTGAAAAAAAAAAAACAAACCCAAAAAAAAGGAGAGGATAAAAAGATTCAGGTCTATAAAAGAGAGAAAGAAGGAAAAGAGCCACAGAGAGACCTGTCACCTCCAGCTAATCCAGCTATGACCTAACTGCTATTTTTTATTGTTCCAGCTGAGAAGAGTGTGCCAGGCAGAAATTGTTTTGATTTAAAACTTTCATAAATAAATACATTTAAAAGTACATATTTTTTTTCCATAGAATTTTGACTTCTGCTGTGGGAGGCTGATAAAAATAATGAGTGCTTTGCCCCCTTTCTCCCCAAGAGCATTTGCAATTGTCACCAGAAAGTTGTCTCTGTGCCAGATTTGATGGGAAAAGGAGAATTTTAAGCAAGCTGGGACAGTTCTGTAGCAGTGAAGGGTTTAGAGTGTTCACCCTAGAAGGAGAAAGAAAAGGTCCTGAGGTGGCACTGGTGTCCTTGCAGTCACCTCTAAGCCTTCACTCCACCTCCTCTCTCACCCTCTTCTTAATTTTTAATTAATAGCTTTGGTGTTACATTTCTCATGCTGAAAGGTAGATGGGTTTTTAAAAATTCTGCCATGGCTACTTGCTGTCTGGACCAGCACTTGCCCTCCTCCTTTCCCTGCTCTGCCTCAGCTGAACAGCAGAATGACATT